AATAACATAGCCTTATTTCTAACAATCATATTGATTTATCTATCATTTCTACATACCCACATTTTCCAATAACATTCTAATCATCAGGTCTTTTGATTAGTTACCAAACTTCATTCCTTACAAACATATTAAACTATTCCTCATAAAATTATCAAATAATTATCAAATTGATCAACCTAAACATTTTTAGGCTCAATTATTTGAAGAAATACATCATGATTAACCTAAATCCTACTATGCCTCCTTGTCATTGCACCTTGGGATGGGACCCTTATAACAAACTCCTATTATTGATTCTTCTTAAATTAATATTCCTTAGGCATAAAATCATTTACTTTTTTTTTTTTTTTTTTTTGAGAGAAGCAAATAGCTATATAAGAAAATAGATAGTAAAAGGATTAAAAACTACCCAAGAGAAGCATCCGATTCCTCCTTTAAAATTTTAACAAAAGGAGGAATCTTATCCAAAGAGATGTCTTCCCATATGAAAGAGCTAAAGATAGCATAGTTAGCACATAAATAAGCTAACTTATTATTTTCCCTATCTATACAATTAAAAATGACATTATTGAAACTTTTTAAGAATGAGAGTTCAATTGATTTTTTACCTTGTTTCTTTATGATATCTAGGAGAAGCCTGATGATATTATAGTTGTCCCCTTCAATGATAATTCCTTTGAAATCAAACTTCCAATCTTGCATAACTTCTCTAATCGCTTGTATAGAAAAGAGTTCCAAATGAGATATATCCAATGAAGACACTACTTTTGAAATCCCAATAGCAATATTCCCATGTTGTCTCTAAAAACTCCACCAATCCCTGCTTGATAAGAAAGTAGAAGAGAAGCATCTACATTGACTTTGATCCAATTGGGTGGGGGAGGGTGCCAACAATTCTCCAACAACATGTGCTGATTGACATCCAAACTACCCGAGATTTTAGGAATGACTTTGCTAAATTTGCTGCAAAGTTAACAGCATTAGCTGCTATACACAGTGAATTCCCCTTACACCTTTATGAATCCTCTCATTCCTAGCTTTCCATTAAAGAAATACGATGTTGCAATATAAATTTACTAACAAAGAATTTTGGGAGCTCAACCATCTACAGCAACTTTTGAAGGATTCAAAATCTAGAATTTGAAATCCCCATCTATTTATAATTTTGACAACATCCTTCAACTTTATGTATTTGACTGCCACGTGATCAACATCTTCAATCCCATCACAATCTCTTGGACATATGTAATAATTTTGTAATTTTCTACATGATAAAAACTAGTTAGTAGGGATAGCTTTATGGAACAATCTCCACCAAAAATTTTCTGTTCTCATGTTAACAGCAGCTTTTCTGATCCATTTCCAATATTTAGGTTCTATTTCATCTTTTTCCTCTTGTAATTCAGCATCTATAATAGAGATAGATCTTGGAAAAATTTTGTAAAGGAGCTCCATTCTATCTTGTATTAAATTCAGTTTTATCTGAACTTTGCAAATTAACTCCACCAGCTCAATCCTGAAGGCTTCTCCCAGTTTGTTCACATCCCATCTTCCTTCGGTGATAAAACTCTCAACTTTTGAAAAGGAATTGCTTTGAGGAATTACAAATATAGGCCATCTGTTAAGACTCTTGTCCATAATCCAGGTCTCTTCAAATACATCAACTGATTTTCCACCCACTATGCTCCATCTGATAATTGGCTTAAGAAATCTAGCACCATCATGGATCAATCTTCAAGTAGTTGATCCAACAGATTTTTAACAGACATCTTCATAAGGAGAACCATATTTCATATAAAAAACATTATGTAATAAATATTTTGAGTTCTAGATGTTATTCTAAGATAATTTGGCCATCAACGAGGCTTCTTTGTTTGAACTTGCATAAAGACTTCTACCACTAGAACTAATTGGTTCACACATCCTCTCCTATTTTACATAATGAATTCCATGATCTCCACCATTTTTTCTCCAAATAAAGACTCTACAAAGCTTATATTTCTCATCAAGTATACCTTTAGTACCCATGATAAAGTAGAATGAAAAGGGAAGGTGAGCAACACCGATTTGACTAAGGTAATTCTCCCTGCTAAGGATAATATTTTACTTCCCCATATGTTCAGCATTCTCAATGCCTTATTTCTGATGAATTGAAAATTAGATATAACTAGTCTTCTCAATGCAATTTGGACTTCCAAATATTGCATTTCTTTGATAGTTTTGAATCCCATGATATTGGAAATGACCTTTTTTTCCTTATTCTTCTAACTAAATTTCCAAATAGAACACAAGATTTGTTCTCATTAATCTTAAGTCCTATCCATCTACAAAAATTCATCAATATGGCCTTCACTTCTTTAACTGTCTTTAATTTTGCTTATGAAAAGATAACCACATCATCTGCTTATAGCAAATGTGATACTTTATGCTCACCAGGATTCACACGAATCCCTACATTATTGCTACTTTAAGAGAAAGCATTTGTTAAAAGTTGTGAGCATAGACTAAAAAGAAATGGTGATAGAGGACAACCTTGACAAAATCCACTTGAAGTAGAGATCCAATTTGTGAGATTCCAAATAATCAACAAGGAAAATGACGGGTTTTGAATACATTCCAATATCAATTTTGAGAATTTCATTGGAAATAAAAAATAATCTAGAGCTTTTTCCAAAGTAGACCACCCCATTGAATGATAAGCTTTTTCCATGTCTATTTTGAAAGAAAATAGCCCTTTTGTGGTTCTCAAAAACTGAAACTTATTGAAAACTTCTTGAGCAACAAGAATATGATCAAACAACGATCTTCCGGTGACAAAGGCTGCTTGTTCTTCAGAAACCAATTTGTAAAAAAATGGAGATAATATATTCAAAAGAACCTTAACTGCCACTTTATAGACCGAGTTGCACAAGCTAATAGGTTTATAATTAGAAGGAGATAAAGGATCAGTCACCTTTGGAATCAAAACAATAACTGTCTCTTTCCATTCCTTACACTTTTCTCCTGAGCAAAGAAAGTGGTTGTTTGCATTACAGAAATCCTCCATGATTATGGACCAATAGGCTTTAATGAAAGAGTAGGTAATTCCATCCTTTCTCGGTGATATACTTCCTCCTACCTCTTTAATCACAGCTTCCACCTCCTCTATGGAGAACTCTTTGTTTAACAAAAGAGAATCGTCTTCATTCAAAGAATTATTTGAGTTCGGCCATCCAGTTAAGGTGCATCTTCTAAACATCCATTTATCTTTAAAAAATCATAACTAAACCTCTTCAATATGCTGCTGATCCTCCACTATAATACCTTTATCATTTTTTGTTTTGTTAATGAAATTAGAGTTCTTTCTAGCACTAGCAAAAGCTTGAAAGAATCTAGAATTTCTATCACCATCTTCAAGCCATTTGAGATTTGTACGTTGCCTCCACCATGTGTTCAACCGAGACAAAGTGGAATTCAACTCATTAACTTTGTTTTTTAGTATCCAACTGTCTTCTGTCGAGAGACAACCTTCTGCAGCTTCATTTTCTTGAAGCTTCAATATATCTCTTTTTAGTTCTTCTCCAGTAATATTTATGTTTTTGAATTTGGCTTTCCTGCAATAGAAAAGGTATCTTCAAGGCATTTTCTAATTTACTATTAAGAACTTAAGAAGTTTCACCAAAAGCTTTGTTCCTCCATGCCTTTTCCACCACCAATTTGGATGCCGATATAGAAGCCCATACTTCTTCAAATTTTATGATTCTTTTAGAACCAGGATTGAATTCCATCAAGTTCAATAAGATCGGACAGTGGTCAGATGCAACTCTAGACAAGTGTCTAACCACCATTCTATTAGCTAATTTAAAGGCAACAGAATTTATAAAACATCTATCAAGTCTCTCCAGAATTCTTTCAGCACCTACCCTGTTGTTACACCAAGTGAACCTTGGTCCAATCCATCCTAAGTCATGTAAGTCATCACAAGATAAGAAAGATTGCATATAATTAGGTCCTTGGGAAAAGGCAAATTTTCTCCCTCCTCTTTTGTCCTTCTTAGTGAGAAAGCAATTAAGTCACCCCCTATCACCAAAGGCAGCTCAGTATCTGAATAAAACTCTTATTTTTCCCAAAGAAATCTTCTTCTAAATACATCTTTATTGCCATAGATAGTAGCTAGTCTTCATCTTCCTTTATTGGGAACATCAAGTTTTTTTTTTTTTTTTTTTTTTTAATTTTTTTTTTTTTTTTTTTTTTGAGAGAATGCATAAATTTTATTAAAATGAAAATGTAGAAAATCTATTACAATCTAGGTAAAATAACTTATTGATTCCTTTTCCCAAAAGAAGAAAAAAGGAACTTATTAAAGTTAAATTTGTTAATTTAAACTTCTTATAACTGAAATGAAATCCTTTATTCCCTATTTTGAAACTGGGGAACATCAAGTTAACCAATAATTAATTGAGAAGAAAAATCTAAAAAATTAAAAGAAGCAAAGTTATCTCTCATGGCACCATAATTCTTCCTGACAAGCCCACAGAAGGAACTTGAAAAAACTTCCAATCTGAACCAATCATAGAATTTATCTCCAATCTATCAATAGAAGATAATTTGGTTTCAATAAAACCACAAAAAAGACCCCATGATCTTTTACTATCTCCATAAGATATAGAGAAGTTTTTTTCTTTCTAGCTTCTTTATAATTCCAAAAGATAATTGTAGACGTCATTGAACAAGAGGGGACAAAGTCCCTAATTTAACTTTATTATCAGAATTCCCTCTTCTACTTTTTGATACCATATTAATAGGTCCCAATACCTTTAGTTATTCCAGTTCCACCTTAGATGATACATGGTCTTTCTTCTTTGAAATAATCACATAGTCCTTATTGATTGAAGACACTTCAGTAATATTAATTCCAACATCATATTCTAGATATAGTATTTCCCCTTTTTCTACAATTTGATTTAGAGCATCAAATTTATAAGAATTGAAAGAGAATTTCCTGAATCAACAAGGGAAACTTTCCCATATTTCGTATAATTTTTCTCATTTCTAGATTGCTTCATAGTAGATTGCTTCAAAGTGGTGAGCCCTTTTGCAGCTACAGGAACATCTAAATGTTCTTCAGGAGCTTTATTTTCTTTTTTTCCTTCAAAATTTTTCTGGATTGTAGGATTCTCAGGAGGAACTTTTACATTAGCAGCATCCTTCTTTGTAGATCTTGTCCAAACTATGTTGAAATTCATATTTTTTATTCTACCTTTTCCATATTTCACATGGACCAAAGGTCCATATGAGTTGTTATCTTCAACCATACCCCCTTCTAGTTCATTCCCAGATACTTTATGAGATTCTTTATTCACAAAATCAGCATGTTTAATTTGGTTGTATGCTTCTTTAGATCCTTGAGAAGAATCTAAACATTTCTCCACAAAATTTTTTTCAAAATTCCCTATCCATCCACATTTGAAGAAAAAATTTGATATCTTGTCTTACTCAATATTTTGAAACACTTTACCTTGGCTTCCTTCCACCCAAACTCCCAAGGGCAATTTGTCATGAAGCTTGATCCGAATACAAACTCTATAAAATTCTCTCCTCCCCCATTGGAACATATTCCCATCAATTATAAAGGGAGTTCCTATCATTGAAGCAATTCTACATACATTGACCTCATCCCACCATTGCAATGGGGGATTAGGCATTCTAATCCAAACAGGAGCCATGCGCCCTTTTATTGTGAAAGGAGAAAAGGAAGGAGACCATTTATCCATTCATATAATATGTCCATTGACATACCAAGGGCCACTAGAGTAAACAGATTCCAAAGCACCACTTTCTTCAAAGGCACAAAGTGCCCATCCCATTCCATGCATTGTCATATGAAACTTCCCAAATTGGGACCATTTTCTTCTTAATTCCAAACCAATTAAGTGGAATGGAACATTCTCCCCCAATACTTTGATTGCCATTGATTCATGGAGTTTCTTTGAGTTTTCTAACTCATTTTCCAAATCAATTTTCACCACTGTGCCATTTTCTATAAAACCTTTACCATAATATATATTGAGGGCTCTGATATTAGAATTTCTATTCCAATTTTTTTTTTTTTTTTGAGAATTGCAAATGGCACTAAAAGATATTAGAATTTCTATTCCATATAGATGATTCGGCTTGTTGAGACCGAGCATTAGAATGACTACTTCCCGTATTACAGTTACCCAAAACACCAGATTCACAAATGCGAACCTCCTCCTTGTCTTTACCAGATACTTCCTTCTGTTGAAAAAATTTTGATTTCTATCCATCAGAATTCATTACTACATAGACTTTTGCTATCTTATAATTCATATTTTCAATTTGTTCAGCAACTTCATGTTCTTCCAGAATTTTAGACTATTTCACAAGCATTTTCTCTTCACCATTTTCATTTACTTCAATCTTAGAGGCAGATTTGAAAGGGATTTCATTCACTAGATTGGATTTAAGAAGATTTTTCTCAGACGAATCTACCAAGATTGTTTCATTCACAATAATTATTTTTATGAGCTAACAACATCACAAATATAAACCTAGGATAGTCATCTATAATAAATCAACAAAAAACCTTACCACTAAGACTAAAAATACTAATGGGTCAAAATTAATTAAGTTTTAAATGTCCAAATGGTCTAGATGTAGAAACAATGTTTTTATTTTTGAAAGATGACTTATGTGTTTATAATGCAATCACTAATCACAAACATAATTAGATTAAAAATCTAGGTTTTGCAAACAACTTAAAACATCTAATTTTAAAATCTTGTGTAGTATGTGCATATTAATATGACATAGTCTCCAATGCCATAACAAACATTCATCAAATGTTCTATTAAAACAAAATAAATTTGAATCAATAAATAAACCTTTTAAATCAACAGGATAAATATTTTTTTAATGTTTTTTCAACAAAATTAACATTTTTTTATTTAATAGAATAAAAATTTATATAAAACGAAACTAAAAAACCCTTAGCATAATGTTAATTAATAAATATAAAATTTTTCTTTAAGTCATAAAAAAATAAATGCGTTTTTTATGGTAAAGGAAGAGTTACCAGCAATATCATTTATGATGTTATTTCCTTTAGCATTTTCTCTTTATATCACATTTCCTCCTTGACTTTTAAGTTCTTTGAATTTAGCTTTATCTTCACTCATATGACTTGAAAATCCACTATCCAAGCCTTCTTTAATATTCTATGAAGGCATTCCTGCAAAAATCAATTGATGGTTAATTTTAGGAACACAACTTAATTTGGGTCAACTATTTTGCAAAGACATTAATGAAAGAAGGTAACTAGTAATACTACTATATGTAATAGGCAAAGAGGGATTTGTTTTTATAACAAAAGATTTTTTGATTTACTTCTAATATTCATTTTCTTCTACATGCAATCAAATTAATTATGCCCTTTTTTCCACATGCATTACACTTTATGTTTAAAATAGTATTTGTTCTTATAGTGAAAGCTCTATCATGAGAGACATTTCTATTTCTACTGCTAAATATGCTAGTAGAGTATACATGAAAAAGTGTCTCTAGTCTTTATTTAAGATTCTTTTTTCTACATTTCAAGTATACTAGCATGCTTGGTTTTTTAAATATGATATTCATTTTAAATTTTAAAATAGACAAATTAGTAGATAAAATATCAAATTGAGAATTTATTAGTTTTTAAAAATCATAAGAGAATAAATTTTTTGCTCAATTTATTTTATGCAAATAAAAGTTCATTGAAAGTATCATCAAGATCATCATAAGTGGTGTCATTTTTTACCTCATTTCGATATGAAGTGTCAACTCGATTTTTTTTTAAAGAAAAGTAAAAATTGCTTCATTAAAAACTAAAAAATGGATTACATCCTAATAGCATTTGATTCATCCTTTAACAAATTAATAAAAGTAGGATAGTTAGCACAAAAAAAGAACTAAAAATTACATAGTTAGCAGAAAGATCGGCTAACATATTGCTTTCCCTTTTCACACAATTAAAAATAACAAAGTTGAAATCTTTGATAAATGATAGATCTCCCTAGTCATTGCTACCTTTCCTAACAATACCTTGAATGAAGTTGATTACATTTTTGTTGTCTCCACCTATGATTATGCCCTTGTAAGCAAACATCCAATTTTTAACCACATCCTTGATTGATAGAATAGATTGGAGCTCCAATGAAGAAATATCCCAATGAACCCACTTTTTGACTAAATGCCAAGAAGAATCTTCCCTTATGGTTTGGAAAGACACACTGATCTCAGCTTTATAGGATGAACAAAGGGAAGAATCTATATTAACGTTTATTCAATCGAGTGGAGGAGGATGCCAATTATTATTCAACAACCTGAACGGTTGATTAACATCCCAAATACCCGAGTTAAAAACAATTAAAGGACTTAGAAATAGCTGAATAACTCACAATATTTATTACAACTACCAACGGGTTGGTTACAAGTCCATCATGAACAAACTCGTTCCTAGCTTTCCGTGATAACTAGATCGTGTTGCAAAAAAAATTAACCAACCAATGATTTTGGCTATCCAACAAAATACCACACGACTCAAAGGAGTTGAAATTAAGAATACCGAAACCCCAATTGTTTAAATGTTGAATGACATCTTTTAATTTCCTACATTTGGGAACAATATGCTCAATATCTTCAACAACCTCACATCCCCTTGGAAATCCATTGTTACCTTGTAATCTTCTATAGATTAAGAATTAATTTGTTGGAATTGTATTGTTAAGTACTCTCCACCAAAATGTCTCCACAGTTGAGTTGAGTTTAGCATTTTTTAAACCATTCTAACCAAAAAAATTTGTAATGCATCTCTCCAATGATTCGGTTGGCATGGCCAAAATTGACTTACCAGAAATCATTCGAATGAATTTCAATTGATCATCTGAACATTTAGAAGAAATTTGAATTCTAGAGATCAGATTTATGAGATCTAACCCAAAGAAATCTCCAAGCTTCCCTACATCCTAGTAATCATTACAAAAAAACCTGTCAATCGTGAGATCACTGCACACCATTGATTGCATAAAGGTTGGCCATTTATTAATGCTTCTATCCTATAACCAATTGTCTTTGATGACATTAACATATTTATCATTTGCAATTCTCCATTTGACGATTGGTTTAAGAATTTCCTCTCCCTTGCATATTAGTTTCCATGCAGCTGAACTGGTCATAAGAAATTGGACCATAATTAGGGAAAAGGGCTTTATGCATGAAAGATTCTTTATCTTGTCAGTACCTCTAAGCAAATTTGCCTCTTAATGGACCAGTTTTCTTAGAAAAGGGTATAATTTCATGGCCACCCAAGTTTTTTGGTCTACATATGGAATCCCAGCACACTTAGTGAAGTCCAGCTCCTCCTTCCTTCTTGCTCCATATAAAACTTTTGCACATGTTATCTACTTCATTCAAAACACCTTTTGGATCCAAAGAAAGAGTATAATGAAAGTAGGAAAGGATAGAAAAATTGATTTGACCAAAGTGATTCTTCTGGTCAAAGAGAAAAATTTTCCTCCCCACACACTCAACATACTCGAGGTTTTATATAAGAGGAACTGAAAATCAGCTCTAATAAGTCTTTTCAATGCAACTTTGATGCCCAAATAAGAAAATTCTTTGATCTCCTTGAAATTCATAAATCTTGCAATTGCTTTTTTTTTCCTTCTCTTGAGTGTTTTCCCAAATAGAATTCTAAATTTTTTAAAGTTCACCCTTTGACCCGTTCATCCACAAAAGTCTTTAAAGATGCCTTTAATCTCCTTTATCATCTTAATACTTGCATCAAAGAAAATAATAATATCATTGGTGTAGTGTAAGTGAGATATCTTTGGCCCATAAGAAGAAATACAAATACCAACCGAATCCTTTTTTTTTTTTTTTGTGAAAAAGCATTTGAAAGTAGTTGTGCAAAAATAAAAAACAAGAACGGAGATAAAGGACAACCTTGATGAAAGCTGCTCCTTGCTTCAATCCAATTAGAAAAATTCCCATTGATTGATAAACCAAAGTAAGGACTATAAACACAATCCAAAATAAGATTAGCAAATTTAGTTGGAAAACAAAAATACTCCAATGCCTTAAACAAAGTTGGCCATCCCATTGAATCGTATGCTTGTTCCATGTCTATTTTCAAAGAAACAAGAATATTTAGATACCTAAACTTGTGGAAGATTTCATGAACCACTAAGACATGATCTGAAAGTCACCTCCCTTTCAAAAAAGACACTTGTTCTTCTGAAATTATTTTAGTAATAACAAGCAATAATCTATTTAAATCATCTTTATCGCAATCTTATAAACCAAGTTGCATAGACTTATCGGTCTAAAATTGGAAGGAGACAAAGGATTTTTAACCTTTGGGATCAGCACTATGATAGTTTCTTTCCACTCTTTAAACATCTTCTTGGATTTGAAAAAGTGATCCAAAGCATTCTATAAATCATCCTTAATTATAGGCCAATATGATTTGATAAATGAATATAAAATTCCATCATGTCTCGGAGCAATTTTCATTTTCAAAAGCCACATGTCCTCATCCGAAAGATGTCCGAATTTGGCCTCTTTAATTTACAAATCCATAATTTCTTTCTTAAGCACTTCTTTATATTGATTTAGGTTTTGGAATTTAGCTTTACTCCAATAATACAAAGCCTTTAAAGGTCTA